TAAGCAACAGAATACCAGAAACTTGGTAATTTATAAAGAATAATAATTTATTTCTTGCATTTCTGGAGGCAGGGAAGTGGAAGGTCAAGGGGCCAAATCTGGCGAGTGTCTTCTTGCTTGTGGGTACTTTTTGTAAAGTCCCAAGGCAGCACAGGGCATCACATGGTAAGGGAGCATGCTAGCTCAGATCACTCTTCCTCTTGGTATACATCCACCAGTCCCACTCCCATGATAACCCATTAATCCATTAATCAGTGAATAGATCAATCAATTCATGCAGAGCCCTCATGACCCAATCATCTCTTAAAGGCCCAACCTCTCCATACTGCCACAGTGGGGGTAAAGTTTCAACATGAGTTTGGGAGAAGATAATCATTCAAATCATAGCAGGAACCCAGGCCGTCTGACTCTAAGATCTATTCTCTTGATACTTAAGAAGATGATGCTGATATGATCATGTAGAGTTCCTGAATAATTTGTCTCTTAGAAAAGGCATAGATTGAAGGTAGTATAATCAGGTGATATTCAAAATATTTAAAATTCTGTATGGCATGGCCACTGATCAGTTAGAAAAACCAGTATATCCATACCTGTGGGTGCCAGCTGCATGTCAGCCTGTTAGAAAGCGCCCTCAACTTGAACACAAAATATGTGATTAGGTTCTAACTCTTCCATTTTGGGCAAGGCATGTAAACCTCTTTCAAATATTTCCTTGTCTGTAAAATGGAAAATATAGTAGTCTCTCTCAATCTAAAAAAAAATTGTCATAAGGTCCAAATGACATAAAGCATATTAACTCATTTTGTAAATTACTAAAGCAAATTCCGTAAGTGTAATGGTTTATTTGTTGAAATATTCCAACTGGGAGCTCAGATTCTGGCTAAGTGTATACGGATGATTTATAAGCAAATAACTATCCATTGGCAAGTGCTCCCAAGTCCCTGAGCAGAACACTATTTTCCATCTCTTCAAATAGTCATGGAAGTAAATTCTAATAGGGTACCAAAGTCAGTTTACTTTGTAGGCCAAGGGAATGAAGTTGGAGTATTTTGCCCAGTGGGGTAAGCTGAAGCAGAGCCCTCTCTTTGTTTGGCAGATTACCCTAAATGACCTTTTAAGGCTTATTTTGCTGCTTTTCTCCCTGGATATTAATGGTGGCATAAAGGAAGAAGGAAGATTCTTCTCAGATGGAAGATATCTTCAAGTTGTTTTCTCTTAATTAGCCATTATCTTCTGTTGCTTGGTCTTAAGTATAGCTGACTCCTGAAAAGGTAAATTGACCAGGCTAATGCATTTTTAAAAATAAATTATTTTTTCTTTTTCTGAGACATGATCTCACTCTGTTGCTCAGGCTGGAATGCAGTGGCGTGATCACAGCTCACTGCAGCCTTGACCTCCCAGGCTCAAGCTATTCTCTCACCTCAGCCTCCCGAGTATCTGAGACCACAGGCGTGTGCCACCATTCCCAACTAATTTTTGTATTTTTTGTAGAGATGGGGTTTTACCATGTTGCCCAGGCTGGCCTCGAACTCCTGACCTCAGGTGATCCACCCGCTTTGGCCTCCCAATGTATTTTATTCTTAACTGTGGTTATAATCACACAACATTAAAATTACCTTCATAAACACTTTAATGTTTGGTACGGTTTGGTAGTGTTAAGTAGTATATTCACATTGTTGTGCAGCAGATCTTTAGAACTTTTTCATCTAGCAAAACCAAAACTCTATGTTCATTAAACATTAATTTCTCCTCCGCCCAGCCCTTGGCAACCACCTTTCTACTTTCTGTTTCTATGAATTTGACTACTTTAGATACCTCATAGGAGTGGATTCACATAGTATTTGTCTTTTGTGACTGGCTTATTTTACTTAGCATAATTTCCTTGAGGTGCATTTATGTTGCAGCGAGTGCTCAGAGACTAAGCCAATTTTTTTTCCCCAGGACATCACCCAGACTGGATTGCAGTGGTGCAATCTCGGCTCACTGCAACTTCTGCCTCCCTGGTTCAAGCTATTCTCCTGCCTCAGCCTCCCGAGCAGCTGGGACTACAGGGGTGTGCCACCATGCCCAGCTAATTTTTGTGTTTTTAGTAGAGATGGGGTTTCACTATGTTGGCCAGGCTGGTCTCAGACTCCTGACCTCATGATCTGCCTGTCTCGGCCTCCCAAAGTACTGGGACTACAGGCTTGAGCCACCTCACTCAGCCCTAAGCCAATGTTTTAATGGTGGTCTTTGATTGGCATTAATAAGTGACAACTAGGGAAGCCCTTTGTATCTGGTCCCTTGTTATTCATCAGGTGGAAGTACATCTGGACCCAAGTACATCTGCAACCTTTTTATTCTCTATGTTGCATTTAGATTTCCTGATTATACCCTGGCCATTTTCTAACCAGCTGCAGGTCAGAGTTCATGTTATCTGCCAGATACCCCAAATATGTTCCTTAAATCCATTTTACTAGGCAGTAAAATTTAAATTTCACATATTTTAAATAAACTTCTCCTATAATTGTGGCTAATCAGAAATTTTAAAACTATGTATCTGATCATGAAAGGTCACTAAATGTGTCCGCTCTGTTTTGATTTAACTTTATGAACCCTGCATATATATGCAGTTATCTCTCAGTATTCGTGGGGGATTGCTTCCAGGAATTTTCAAGGATACCAAAATCCATGGATGCTCAAGTCCCTGATTTTAAAATTGGCATAGTACTTGCATATAGTGTATGCACATTTTCTCATATACTTTAAATCATCTCTACATTACTTATTTAATACAATGTAATTGCTATGTAAATAGTTGTTATATAATCTAGGGAATAAATGAGAAGAAAAAAATCTGTACATGTTCAGCACAGACACTATTTTTTTAAAAAAATATTTTCAGTTCATGGTTGGCTGAATTCATGAATGCAGAATCCATGGATATGGAGGGCCGCCAACTGTGTGTGTGTGTGTGTGTGTGTGTGTGTAATCAAACTTTGGAGTGTGTGTGTGTAATCAAACTTTGGAAGCTTACTTGTGTTCTATTTTTGTCTTTCAGTGAAACCTGATCCTCCACATATTAAAAAGCTCTTCTTCCATAATGGTAACCTATATGTGCAATGGGAGGATCCACAGAATTTTATTAGCAGATGCTTATCTTATGAAGTAGAAGTCAGTAACAGCCAAACTGAGCCACTTGTTTTCAAAGTAAGGTTTTAAAAAGTATTGTTTTTATTTGGCTATTTTTCTTTTACTTGAATATCTTACACTGAAATAGCAATGAAACATAGCTCTTATGTTTTTCACCTTATGATGATGATGATGATAATGAAACTTCTTGTCTAAAATAAGGCATGGTGGAAGACTTGAAGATTTATGGTATAATAGTATCAGCTGCAAGTTTCAGCCATTTATTAATTCATCTGTAAGCTTCTTAAAATGGCCTATTAAAAATAATTCATCTGCTCAACACATTTTTATTAAGTGTCTTTTGTGTGCTAGGGCTAAGGCGGTGAACATGACACCTGACAAGTTTTTTTCTTCATGAATCCTCCATGATAGAAAATGTATGTAAATAAGAAAGCTAATTTCAGAGCATGAGTGCTGTGAAGAAAATAAAATGGGGTTATGTAGAGTGACTGCAAGAACCAGAGGGAACTAGGTAGGGAAATCATCTGAAGTAATGACAGTTGAGATGAGACCAGAATGATGAGCAGGCACTAGCCATGCGAAGATCTGGGTGTAGGGGGTCAGCAGATATAGACTTTGAGGCAAGAATGAGCTTAGCATGTGTGAGAGAACAGAAAGGAGGGTGGTGTGGCCGAAATGGAGCAGGAAAACATGTCTAAGCAGTAGGCAGACATCGATCACGCAGACACTTGGAGGCTCTGATAATACCATTCTGTTTCCTTGGAGTTTGTGGCAACTAAAGTAATCAAATTTGAGTGGTCAGTATTTGTTGGATTATGTGACTGTATGTTATTCAGAATCAAATGCAGAACATGATAATTAGAGGTCCTGTAGGACATTGACCAGAATGTGCTCTAATCTCAGGACATCCATCCCGTTGTTCTGCTTTAGGGCAAAGGTCACAAACTAGGGCCTCACACTTTTTTTTGTTGGGAACACAAAGTCGTGTTTTGTTTGTTTCTTTGTTTACTAGATTTGAATTTTTTGCCCAGATTTTAAATCATAGTACCTTAAGAGTGTATGTCCATAAGATGGCGCCTTAAGACCAGGAAGACTGCACCCCTCACTTGTTTGCTACCTGCCTGGATCCTTTGTGTGTTTGAGTTTTAGAGGTTAGAAGTGAAATGTTTTATATTGGCTTTTAAAGGAGTCTAGCATCTCGCATGTGGGTAAATTCCTTGGCCCAGTTGTTTTAGCTTATCATGGAACTTTCAAAATGCTTGCTAAAATAAGCCAGTGTTGACAGGCTGTAATTTCAGCTACAGAGGGAGTGACCAAGTCCACAGCAGAACAGAAGAGCAAATGTTCTTCTGGGCATTTGCATTATGAATCCTTCTGCTAAAACGTAATAATCATTATTAGTACCAGAAATTAAGTGCCCTATGAAATACAGCAAAGGGAAAAAACTAAGGGCTTCCATGTGGAAAGGGGCTTGTGCTTGAATTTACGATAAAAGGAGTTATCAGAAAGCTGAAATAATACTTGTTTACTCCAGTCTTTACCATTCTCTCCCCTCTGAAATTGTGAGACGCATGCTGCTTATAGTATTCATTTTGCCACTCAGTTATTTTCTTGCTGTTTAACCTATCACATATAAGCATTTTCTCTCCACTGAAAATATAAACTACAGAAAACCAAACACCACGTGTTCTCACTTACAAGTGGTAGCTGGACAATGAGAACACACAGAGAGGAACAACACATACTGGGGCCTGTGGGGAGTTGGCAGGGGGAGGGAGAGCATCAGGAAGAACAGCTAATGGATACTGGGCTTAATACCTGGGTGATGGGTTGATCTGTGCAGCAAACCACCATGGCACATGTTTACCTATGTTACAAACCTGCACATGTACCTCAGAGCTTAAAAGTTGATATTTAAAAAAAAGAAAATATAGACTCCTGTAGGAAGGAGTCAGGTGCTATCTACTTTGTGCTGTTCCTGCTACTAAATAGCAGCTAACATGTATTGAGTGAGTACTGTGTGCTAGGTATCTTAATAAGCACTATATCTGAATTGTTTCATTTAGTCTTCACAATAACCCTAAGGATCTAGGTCCTGTTATGTTGTCTCCATTTTACAGATAAGAAAACTTAGTTATTCCTAAGGTCATATTTCTAGTAAGTGGTAGAATCAATATTTAACCAAAATTGTAACTCTAAAACTTGGATTCTTAACCACTAGAGACCACCTCAGTACTTCCTCTTACTAGCAATAACCATCATTCATTAAGTGTTTATGGCATGCTACAAAGATACTCTTCTATGTGCTTCTTAATACAGTATCTCATAGCAACCCTTGAAATAGAAACTATTTTAATCTACATTTTATTGATGTACATTTTAACTTACATCTTAGCCTTAAAACTAAGGCTCAGAGAGGTTAAGTAACTTGCTACGAGCCACACAGCTAATAAGTCAGTATGACTTCAAAGGTTAGTTGGGGCCGGGCGCGGTGGCTCAAGCCTGTAATCCCAGCACTTTGGGAGGCCGAGGCGGGTGGATCACCAGGTCAAGAGATCGAGACCATCCTGGTCAACATGGTGAAACCCCGTCTCTACTAAAAACACAAAAAGTTAGCTGGGCATGGTGGCACGTGCCTGTAATCCCAGCTACTCAGGAGGCTGAGGCAGGAGAATTGCCTGAACCCAGGAGGCGGAGGTTGCGGTGAGCCGAGATCGCGCCATTGCACTCCAGCCTGGGTAACAAGAGCGAGACTCCGTCTCAATTAAAAAAAAAAAAAAAAAAAAGGTTAGTTGGTCTCCATGTGTTAAACTTTGACCAAGAATACTTAGTATAATGACATATGCATAATCATCACTTAAATTATTATTGAACTGAGTTACATTTTTTTTTTTTTTTTACAAATTTCCGAACTGAAGAGAACACATACACTATGGAAGTTACCCACCTAGATCAGAACTATTTTCTATTTGGAATTAACTCCGTTTGTACACTTGAGTTTAATGTTTTCTCTCCTAGCAGACGTAGAATATCATCAGTTTTTTGTGTGCTCACTGATTTTGAGCTCTACTGCTTAGGCTTCTTTTTTTTTCATTTTGAAGAATTCTTTTACCTGGTGTTACACTTAAGAGGGGGAAGTACGCTGGAACATGAACTGGTACCATCACATGAGGCCTGTGGTCAGAGGTAGCTCATGACAGAATTATGACGTCAGGAACAACTTGTCTGTGACCACTCCCTTACCCCCAACTTCCCAGCAAACTATCTTCTTGGTACCCTGGCTTTCCTTCTCTTAGTGGTCTCTGAATAGCCAGTAAACTATGCAGGGGGATTTACTTTTGAACAAGAGCCTAGAGATCTAAATCTACAGATTGATTCTCAGAGTTTGGAATTTCTATATATGGAAGATGGTCCAGGGGAGGAGGGACATCAATTTGCAACTTGATCGCTCAACTGATAGTTGACGCTTGTGATTCCCCAACAGATCTATGATTCTAAATGGCCAGTAATAGGGTATAGTGGCACCCAAGTGTTTTTTTTTTCTGAACCCCTGTATGAAATATTGAAAGGATGTTCCTTCATCATTTGCTTGGCCTCTTAGCTCTTCACACATGCTGGTAGGAACCATTTAGTGAATGACATTAAATGTCAAAAATAATAGCTATGTGTTACGATCTTTGTTCCATGTTTAAATGTATCTTTTATAGAAGTTGACTATTTAAGCAATAGATTGTCATGTGTTTTTTACTCCATTTTTGAAATACTTTCATTTAAGGAAATTAGTATTATCTATACATTAGACAGCAAGTGACTTCTATTGTGTGGAGGGGAATTTTGCATTACACTTTCTTTTCTCCAGCCCAGTCATGTTTTATATCTTATACTCTCAATAAGGGACATTGATCTTTTGCTCCTGTCTCTTCTTTTTAAAAGTTTTTACTGAGGTATAATACACAATAAAAATTACACAAATCTTACGCCGGGCATGGTGGCTCACGCCTATAATCCTAGCACTTTGGGAAGCTGAGGTGCGTGGATCGCCTGAGGTCAGGAGTTCAAGACCAGCCTGGCCATCATGGTGAAACCCCATCTTAAAAAAAAAAAAAAATACGGCTGGGCGCGGTGGCTCAAGCCTGTAATCCCAGCACTTTGGGAGGCCGAGGCGGGTGGATCACGGGGTCAAGAGATCGAGACCATCTTGGTCAACATGGTGAAACCCCGTCTCTACTAAAAATGCAAAAAATTAGCTGGGCATGGTGGCGCGTGCCTGTAATCCCAGCTACTCAGGAGGCTGAGGCAGGAGAATTGCCTGAGCCCAGGAGGCAGAGGTTGCGGTGAGCCGAGATCGCGCCATTGCACTCCAGCCTGGGTAACAAGAGCGAAACTCCGTCTCAAAAAAAAAAAAAAAAAAAAAAAATACACAAATCTTAACCTATATAGCTCAGTGATTTTTCACAAATGATTTTTCACCTATGTAACCAGCACCACAGAAGCACCCTCATAATCCCCTTCAGTTGCTATCCTCCCAAAGAGCAGCTACTATCCTGACTTCTAATCCCATAGATTGATTTTGTTGTTACTTTTAAAACTATGTAAGTGGAATTATACACGATGTACTTTTTTTTTTTTTGAGACAGAGTCTCACTTTGTCACCCAGGCTGGAGTGCAGTGGCGCAGTCTCAGCTCACTGCAACTTCTGCCTCCCAGATTCAAGAGATTCTCCTGTCTCAGCCTCCGGAGAGCTGGGATTACAGGCATGCACCATCATGCCTGGCTAATTTTTTTTTTTTTTTGTACTTTTTAGTAGAGACGGCGTTTCTCCATGTTAGCCAGGCTGGTCTTGAGCTCTTGGCCTCATGTGATCCACCCTCCTCAGCCTCTCAAAGTGCTGGGATTACAGGCATGAGCCACTGTGCCTGGCCCAGAATATACTTTTTTTGTGTGTTCACCCTTTTTTCACTCAACATTATGTTTATGAGATTCATAAATGTTGTTTCCTATTGCTGTAGATGGTACATTCTTATTGCATTCATTCCTTTGTGTGAATATACCACATTTTATTTATCCATTCTCCCATTGATAGACATTTGGATAGTTTCCAATTTGGTTTTATGAATGGAGTTTTTAATGAACATTCACATACTTGTCTCTTGGTACACATGTGCGTACATTTGTGTTGGGTATTTATATAGGCATATATGGATCATAAGGTTACATATGATTGTCTCTAGTAGATAATAAGTTTTCCTAGGTGGTTGTGCCAGTTTTTACACTACTAAGCAGAAATTTTGAGTTCTAGATGCTTCATATCCTCATAACACTTGGTGTTGTCAGGTAAGTGTGTGCATTCTTATCTTGTGCATTTAATTTGCATTTTTCTCATGACCAATGAGGTTGAACACTTTTTCAGATGTTTATTGGCAACTTACCTATCATCTTGTGAAGTGCCTGTTCAAGCCTTTTGCCAGTTTTTTTTAAATTGGGTTTTCTGTCGTTGCGTTATTAGTAGGGTAGGAAAAAATGTATATGCAAGTCCTTTGTCAGAAATTGCAAATATGTTCTCACACTTGATGCATTGCCTGTTTGTTTCCCTGATGAGATGTCATTTGATCAACAAAATTTTTAATTTTAATATAGATGACTTTATTTAAAAATTCCCTTCATGGTTAATATGAGTTTTTTTTTTTGTTTTTTTTTTTTTGGTCTTGTTTAAGAAACATTTCCCTTCTTCAAGGTTATTAAGATATTTTCTACATTTTCATCTAAAAGCTTGCTATAGTTATGTGTGTATGTATTTATTTTATCTTACACATTTAAATCTGCAATATATTAGGAACTGATTTTGTGAATACTATGAGGTAGGGGTCAAGATTATTTTTTTCTCATATGCATATATAATCGACCCAGCACCACTTATTAAAAAAGGCCAACCTTTTTTCACTGTACCTGGTCATCTTTTAATGGGATAAAAGGAAATGTTGTTAGAAATGATTAAGTGATAGAAAATGGGTTCTTAAACATTTAGAACTCATTCTATTTTTTTTTATTTTTTTTTATTTTCTAGGTTAAGGACGAAGCTAAATGTCAGAATCCAGAATTTGAGAGAAATATGGAGGTTGGTAAATTCAACATTAGCTATTTGGGCTTAGACTTAGAGCAGTTGGGGGTGGAGCATAGTATAAATCTGAGCTGCTTTGAGAAAAACAAACTGCTTTGTTCTGTGAGTTATTGCCAATTTTTTTCAAGAGTCAAAGATAATTGAAATTGCAGTCCAAGTCTTAATCATAGGCAGAATTTAGCAGATAATTATATTATGATTCAACAGCAATGAAAAAAGAATAAACGTAATGTTCCTTGTATATTTTTTATTTTATACCTAAGAATACATCTTGCTTCATGGTCCCTGGTGTTCTTCCTGATACTTTGAATGTAGTCAGAATAAGAGTCAAAACAAATGAATTTTGCTATGAGGATGACAAACTCTGGAGTAATTGGAGCCAAGAAATGACCATAGGTAAGAGAACAGAATTTTTATTAAATTTAAAACATTGATGCTTTAAAACCTAAGCTGAAGCAGAAAATAGACTGGGGAAAGGGACTGTCATGCTCTCTTGATGTCAGGAAAAGAGTACTTACAATTGAAATTTATTTTCTTTGTAATCACTTCCAAATCATACAGAGTTAATTTACAGTATAAAGTTCTTTAGGAAACTGTAATCCAAATGGTTTTATCTTCTGTGTCTCATTTCCATTTTATTAACAAACTGAACAAAAAATATAGAAAGCAGGCATAGGCTGGACACAGTGACTCACGCCTGTAATCCCAGCACTTTGAGAGACTAAAGCAGGAGGATTGCTTGAGCCCAAGAGTTTGAGACTAGCCTGAGCAACATGGTGAAACCCCATCCCTACAAAAAATACAAAAATCAACCGGGTGTGGTGGTTCACACTTGTGGTCTGGACTACCCAAGAGGCTGAGATGGGAAGATCACTTGAGCCTGGGAGGTGGAGGTTGCAGTGAGCCAAGATTGTGCCACTGCTCTCCAGCCTGGGTGACAGAGTGAGACCCTGTCTCAAGAAAAAAAAAAGAAGGCAGGCATAATCAAATTTGCACATTGTATAGTATTAGAGACTGTCCTACATGCTGGTTGGCAGAAACAAGAGTGGAGCCATTTAATAGACAGAAACCTGTATCTAAGTTTGAAAAACTCATTTATTAATTAAAAGGCTGAGCAAGCCAGGCTCAAGTACAGGACTGGAAAGACCTGTGCTTTATGGATGTGTGTGTGATGGGGTGGGATACGGGGCTTTATTTGACTATAAGTGCAATGTGACTCAACATTGAAATCTTAAATGTGTCAAAAAGGCATATACAGTCTTAGACAGGAATGATGAGTGCAGCACCCAGAAGGGAATATTGAACGTTTGACACAGAGCTGTGGCCACATCAGAATTGTGCAGTATTCCATTCTGAGCACCACATTAAAGGATTTACATTGGCAGACTGCAGTCTATCCTTGAAAGGGTAATCAGGATGTTGAAGAATCTCAAAACTTGGCAAGGAACAATTGGTAAAGTAAGCTTGAGGAGTCATGATTGCTGATTTCTAACATTTGAGGTATTGTTAGGTACAAGAAGGAATAGGCTTTCCTTTTTGTTTCTCCAAGGGACAACACAGAACCAACTTAAGAACTTTTTAAACAGCTGTCTAAGTCAAACAGGTTGTTGAGGTAGTCAATTCCCTATTAATTGGGAAGTTCAACAAGTTATGTGCCAGGCATGGTTGCATTCATTTATTTATTGTTGCATAACAAATTACTCCAAAGTTTAATGGCTTAAACCAACATACATTTACCATCTCACAGTTTCTGTGGGTCAGGACTCTAACCACAGCTTAGCTGGAGGTCTCATGAGGTTGCAGTCAAGCTGCAATGAGAACCGAAATCTGTTTGAAGGCTTGATTGGGGATAGAGAATCCACTTCCAAGTTGACTCTTGTAGTTGTTGGAAAGCCTCATTACCTCACTGGTTGATGGAGGCTATAGCAGGTTGAATTGTATCTCACAAAAAGATATGTTCATAGGTGCC